TCGTACTCATGGATGGTGAACTCTTATTACGCTAATGACATTACTCGCCGCTTCTTCCCGAAGAAACAAACAATTTATTTTTCCTACAGTTACCTAACAATGTACATGTTCTCTCACTGATTTGAGAAAGCAAAGTGGCCAATTCGCTCATCAGTGAGACAATGTCAACATTGTCTCACTCTAATTACTTTGTCTCACTCCAGATTTGCAACGTGAAGGCACGTTTCGTTACCAATTTATTTGTTTTATGGTAACTGTAGGAAAAATATAATGTGCAACTCGAGTGGTGCACATCAGTATTCCAACCAAACAACCCAAAACAGCGTGCTTTTATTAGGCACGTAATCCGTGTACGCTTGAAAATAAGTTGGCAACATTAAAGATACTACGACTACGATCAGCTCGTGAAATTCGTTGGCAGCACTGGCTGTAAATCAGCTGGTCAGCTGTTGTACTGTTGTATCATTAAATGTCATATTAAAAGTTCACTTTTGTCTAAAAATATGTTACGTTTCTTTACCAATTTATTTGTTTTATGGTAACTGTAGGAAAAATATAATGTGCAACTCAAGTGCAAAGTGCAATTGCCTCACTCGAGAAACCATTCTGAGTAAGTATTTCTCTCGAGTGAGTCAATTGCTCACTTTGCTCACTAGTTGCACAAATAACTATATAGTAAGTGTAGGAAAAATATAATGTGTAACATGAGTGCAAACTGCCTTTGCCGCACTCGAGAAACGTTCCCTCTCGTGTGCAGCATAGTGCCACTTCGCCCACTAGTTACACAAATAACTATTTCCCAATTCAAGTTCTTGTTTCCAATCACAGCATGATACTTAGTTCGCTGCTACGATATCCTTCATGTAGAAAGCTAGTTCCGGGTCCTCGACCGCTCATCTTCGCCCGTTAATGAATAATCGAGCGTAGCCTAATGCCTCCTTTCTCCTCTTGCTCTTGCATTGTTGACATTGCATCGTCCAGCGATTGGCTGCTATCACACACTTTCAACAGGTACTTTGAACGATGAGTAATCATTTAGCATCATCATAGCACTTCTAGTTGGCTTAGAAATACTCGTGTGATTTCCTTATTAGATTATTTTAATTAATTTAAGATTATTAACAGTCGTATGTATTGGAGAAACCATTGAAACTAGTATGTTGTGTTTAGTACAATACTGCGCAGAAAATTAACATACCCAAGAGATAAACGATTCGTAACGGTTACAACTACCAAAAGCTCTCTTTTACTTGTTCTTATTGTCGTTGCTCTAATAATATAGGTTCCGAAATTATCATTACGCACCTTTAAAAATTTGCTGTGTAACTAGAAATCGTCTAAAATAAATGTTGCTTCACTACAGGAATATACTTGTCACGAGAAAAGTTAGAAAGCCATATAAAATAACAGGAAAGTGATAAATTTGTTATAAGAAATTATATTAATCTTGCTAAATCAAAACCTTTTACAATAGAGAAGTTTATGTAGTTTATTCTGTGGTGGTTCTGTGGTCATCTCCTCCACAGCAACCACGACGATGACTCAATGTTTTTGCCTGTCAAGTCATTTGTGAATCAGCATTTATGTTTGGATATTTTCCAGGCCAAGTGCTTGTTTGGTGTTCCAGTTACCGGTTTGCACGTCATGTTGTAATGGACGCAGTGCTGCGTATACATATTTTACCTACGACCGTTTTTTTAAAGTAGCCGTTTCAGTACAGTTCTTATAATAATTGAAAATTATCTCATAACAGCATTGTTTACTTTCATAACAGCATAGTTTTACTCATAACAACACGGGTAACGGACCAATGAGGTTCAAGGATTGAGAGAGGAGAAGCAAAATTGTAATGATTCGAAATTCAACTAAACAGCTGTTCGGGCCAATTTAATTGTTGATTGATGCAATTAGTGTTTGATACAATGTTTCGTTGCATCACTGTCAGTGGCAATGAGAGGTTATAAACAAAAACATAACCTCTCTTAGAAGTTACGAGTAGTGATTTTTAGTAATTAAAACAATGTCGTAGGTAAAGTAGTGTACGCAACTCGCGTAAATAGTGTTAACGACACTCGTAGAAGTTTTTAAGGCACTCGCCAAGGCTCGTATCTTAAATTTTCTACTCGTGTCGTTAACACTATCTTTGCGTAATTGTAAACTACTACATATTAAGATTGGGTGTAGGTGTCAGCCGCCACACCAGCATGCCGCTTGGCTTCCTTTGATCCGGAAAGCAAGTCGGTTTGGAATCGGCAAGCGGCGTTTCCGATCGTGCCGTACACCGTGCCGTAAGCTTATTGTGCGTACACACTTGCCGCTTGGCAATGCCAATCTGTGCCATTCGGCATAGTGGGGAAGAAATCTTACGTAATTTCACAAGATTAGAAGGTTATAATCAAGATCAAATGGTGAAGTGGTGTAAACACTTTTCGGAAACCCTTCGGGGTTGGTGTCAGAATCTATTGATTATTTTGCATCAACCGCGTCTTCAGATGAAAGTGCAACCTCGATAACAAGTCACTCTTGATAACAAGTGACATTTTTAAACCATTCGATTAGATTACATGTAAATCACGTGTTACTGCAACTCTCCGTATTTAGAACCCCCTGTAATTTAGAAATTAATAAAGGGGTTTTTCAATAACCAGTTTTTTAGGAACTAATCTATTTTTATGATTTAATAAGGAAGAAGTGTTTTTGGTGTCTTACAATTCAATCTTGCTGTCGAAGTACAGTACTTTAACGGTTTGATAAAGAACAGTTAAATGTTGAGCAATCAGCTGTTTTAAGTTAATCAACTAATTTAAGTACTTAAAATACCACTTGGTATGACATTTTGTAGACAGATTAAATTAAACGTTCTCTATCTTTTACCGTTTAAAAATGGAGGATCGTTGAATATTTCTAACCCAATTATCTAAATCTGATAGAAATGTTTGAAGACCCGCCATTTCGGAACGGTAGAAGAGAGAATGCAAGTTAATACAAAATATGTCCAAACAATTTGGAAACATCCTGTATATAAGACATTTAGTAAAATATCAAACTGACAGATAAATAACAATTGATAGGAATTTTTGGCTTGTCTTTTGTTCATTATTGCAAAATATCTTTAGGGGTCATCTCATGCTGCGTCTATCATCCTATTTTTTGTTAATTCGTTTTCGTGGAGAAATTTTTACTTTAGTCCGATTGATGAACGTTGTCAAGCCATAAATATTTAAGGGATTAATTGGAGTGTAGGACACTCGGCCTGGGATGATTATGAGAAACTTACCCTCCGCAACAAACAATAGGGAACATGGTAGCTCTGAGTCTGTTGCCCCCGAAAGATTCCCTATAGGTTAAATTAAAATGTTTTGTGGGTAAGAGGGAAGTAGTGGGAGATAGGGGGGTGTGTGACAGAGACAGCAAGCTGGGCAAAAACAATGAGGTGGCAGATTTTCACATTGCTGTTAGCAGGTGACGTCATCGTTGATTCGATTGATTCTGGGAGTCGATGGTGTTTTGCAACATAGTCACTTCGATGTATTATTGTCTGTCGATATTTGGCCATTCTAGCAACGGGTATAAGTTTAGGATTTACTTTTTAATTATTGCACAATTCTGAAACAAAACGAGGTTTTCTGGGTTATCCACGAGTATTTCTGGGAGATTCCTGGGATTTAGTGGGTAAAGTGCAAGCTGACGTCAGGTACCTGCTCCATACAAACCTACCCTCCACGACACACAATAGGGACCGAGCGTCTGTTTCCCATTTTAATCAGCATTATTTAGTCCGCGCATCTCATATCTGATGTCTGTTTATCAGCCAAGTTTGCGCCTCTTCCGCTGATATTAGTTTCCTGTTAAAACATTTATCATTTATGGAAATAATTGTCTCTTCTGATACTTAATTATGATATCACGGTAATAATCGCGAAGTAATATTTTAATATAAACAGTTATTTTAGGAGTCGTATTGAAGTTTTGTTCTTTCATTCAAATCCCACTATCTTAAGGACAGATGGACTTAAACCTGTCATGGTGGTCCAATTCAAAAGTAAATCAGATTTATGAAGGGAAGGGGGTTATCTCAATTATGAATATGAGGGAGCTCGTTCTAGGGGAGAAGACCTATCAGTATTTTCCTCCTAGCTATGATGATTACTTATCTACAGCTTGAGGGAGAACTGTGTCTATAATCATTTTGTGATTTGGTGACTAGCCAGATTTGAACCTGGCCCTCCAGTTACGAAACTCTGGCTCTAACCAGCTGTAAGGATCAGTGTCAGGATATAGCCTAATTTTGTTGTTTGTTTGAAAAATCTCAATTCAACAAACATAATAGTTTTAGGTACAAATTATTTGGTAGTATTTTGAAGATAACCATCAATTTTTTAACTTTTTACACAACTCTATATAACAAAATTACTCTATTTGGATGTTTGTGTTAGATAAGAGTATCTCTTACATTTATTAATATCCATAAATTTAATTATCTTATTCTAAAAGTTTCCTAAGATTATCTTTATATTTTTACTCTTCCCCCCCTAGTGTATGTGGAGAAAGTATTGTTTCCATCAACATTTTCAAGTTTCAGTTTTGGGTTAAAATATCCATTTTGGGCCCCATGTGATCCGTATTTGAAGTGATGTTTGTGTATCCGATTTTGATCAAATTTGGTGTGTGAATAATATTATATGGTATTTTCAGGGTTTTAGTCAATTTTTTTAAAATTTAGATTTTTAATGATTATTTTTCTATAAAACCAGGTTTTTAGGAAAATGGCTCAGACAATTGATTAAAATTTAGTATGTTATAGCTATTATAACCCTGAACAAAATGGTGCAAACCGATTAAAGAAAAAAATACTTTTCACAAGTTAGTCCAACTTTTGTGATTTTTCCTCATAAAATAACACAGTTACTGTTGGCAAACTAATGGAAGAAAGTATGTGTCAGATTGCTGATACTGTTTATTTGGTTTTTTTCTAATGTTGTACATTTTGTCACAGAGGGATGTGCTGAGATTCTCTCCTGCACTGAACACCCAGCACTGAGCAATGCTGCTGCCACTTGTAGCCATCTTCCTCTGCCATGTCCTCACGCTCTCCTCGGGATTGGAAGGGCCTCACGTCTGCACAGTTCAGAAACAGTAGGTTCAGTGCTCTTCCTGTACATATGGATTAGTTAAATGGCAACATGTTTCTATGAGTGCAGTAATAAGGCTAATAGAAAAACAATTCATTGATGTCCAACTAATCCATCTATATAATCATTTGGTAAAATATTTGTTTAGTCGATGTTCTATGACTTAAACTGCCTGGGACCCAAATTAATGTGATTGGGGCTAACATAATTTCTTTGTTTTTTACCGCCACCTTTATCAGAAAATATTTTCTGAGTAAAATTGTAGAAAACTATGAAAAATCACTAAATAGAAGCCGATAATAGTTACGATGATACTGTTAGCTTATCTTGAAATGGAACCCAGTTGGTTGTAGAACTAGTTTGCTTGGTTGTATCGGGAGCTCCATGGATTCAGGGACATCCCTTGTCTTTATACAGGGTGGTAAAAAAGTCCCAGGACAGTTAAATATTTTAAAAAATAATGCAGATAGAGCTACAATACTTGGTACAAAGTTACAGGGCATAAAACTCTATTTTAACACATATTCAGTGATCCAATAACTCTTCAGGGGGACGGCCCACAAGGAGTCGGAAGAAAATCTTAAATAGAAGCATAGGTCAATATGCACAATAAATTAAAGGGTTTTTTTAGTAAAATACAATGCCACAAACCGCACTTCAAAAGGTTGATCCTGCGCAAAATGACAGTTGTTCAAAGATTCATTTAATTTACATTGCTATTATACACTTACTCCTCAGGGGGCACAGCCCTAGGAATCGGAAGACAATTTTTAACTTAAGCATAGGTCGATATGCACATCAAATTAAAGGTCTTCACTAGTAGATTACGATGCCGTAAATTCAAGCTCAAAAGAATGCCTGAGTAAAAAATGGCAGTCGTTCAAAGATTCAGCGCAGGATCAACCTTTTGAAGTGCGGTTTGCGGCATTGTATTCTACTAAAAACGACCTTTAATTTGATGTGCATATTGACCTATGCTTTCATTTAAGATTTTCTTCCGACTCCTTGTGGGCCGTCCCCCTGAAGAGTTATTGGATCCCTGAGTATGTGTTAAAATAGAGTTGTATACCCTGTAACTTTGTACCAAGTATTGTAGCTCTATCTATATTATTTAAAAAAATATTTAACTGTCCTGGGACTTTTTTACCACCCTGTATATTTTTATCAGATACTGTAGGACTGCCACACGTCATGTTACCAGAAAGATTTTAGATTTTGTAGATTTATATTCAATAGTCTGATATATCATGAATTTTTTATTACGATACGAAATGTAGTAGGTCCTATACTGTATATACTTTATACCCTACACTATACTGTAGAGGAGTCTTGACAAACAGAAAAGAATGAAGGTTGTTGATAAATTGTTCAAGAGAAATGTTTATGAGAAAAGTCGGTGATTGAACTCAAAACGCAATATGAATAGGTCATGTATATTGTATATGAGAGATCACAATTTCATCCATGCCATCCTTATTGTTTTTTAATTGATTTTTTGTGCATAAAAATTAAATTTATCATAAAGGGTTGGCCTAGTGTAGTTGAATGAAACACAAAATACTATACCAATCATGATATTATATCTATTGTTACTTCTTGTCTCTGTAGGTACTCGGTAACTGTGACGGTGACAGAGTTGTCACCTTACCAAGTCCGCGATTACACTTGGTGCGTAAACATTCCACCGAGATGCTCCAGGTATAAAGTCAGCTTCCGGATGGTGCACAAAAACCAGGTGAGATTTGTGAAAATGATTACATCAGTGATGTGGACAATTTATAGTTGTACCTTTGTTCTGTTTTTAAATTTCTTGTACTATTGGGATTGGGACTATCATTTTACTTGTATTTACAGACTGAAAAACTAGACTCTGGAAACTATAATTTTACGAAGAACTTTATCCATGAATATTGAAGCACCAAAGCTTGGATCTAGACCCCTTTCTCCACATATACCCTCTCATTTCCTCCTCCATAAACAATTAATTGCTGCTATAGTACACCCAAAAACAGTTAAACAATGTACAGTATTGATTTAGAAACATAGTTTAGTACAATAATTTCTCTTGTGAAAGAGTCCTGTAACGTATGCAAATCAAATATACCCAACATTTTATCTAAATAAATTAGTACAATCTTCAAATTCTGTTTGTGTTTTTCAAATCAAACATTTAGTTTAAAACTGTTAAAACCTTTTTTATTACTTTATATACTGTCATTTTTAGGAGTAGTAGTAGCTCTGTATATTTCATTTCTTTTTACAGTCTCACACATTCATTTAACTCATCGTGAGTAAGTTGTCTTAGAATTTCTCATTGATAAGAGATATTCAATAAAAATAAGTCTATGCTAACCGACATTTTGGTCGCTATCCAGTTTATTGTTTTAAAGATACCGTACACTTGGTAATTCTGTATCATTGATTTGTAGAAAACAACGTCAGTCAATGATAACTTTTTTTGTAAAGGTCATAGGCTTTCTTTTCTTACTGAATGAATCATCTTTGGCAGGCTTCTTGTGGTCTGAGGCTGATCAATTTGGTAAATATTATTAGAATTAAATTTTAATTGATGTAGGATTTATGATAGTTTGGAATCCTATTGGTTATGATTGGCTTAGATAATTTTAATTAAAATTAATGTCGAATATGTATGAAGACTGCTTGTAAAATTCACTATAGAGTTTTCTGCAGAGTCGAATATGTCTCAGTTTGTTACCTGACAATTTGCTATGCTCTTCTTTTTTTCTCTTTATTTCCAAGATGCATCTTAATTGTATCGATAATTCTGTACGAATCAATATAAGTCAATGTCGTTACAGACGCTGATAAAGACAAAGCCAGTAGAAGAGTGTTGTGAGGGATATACACGCAGCAAGTGGGACCGTTGTATACCTGTCTGTAGTGACGACTGTGTCCATGGTACGTGCGTCGGTCCAGACATCTGCAAATGTCAACAGGGCTACGGAGGACCCACCTGTAGTATATGTAAGTGTCTGTAAAGATTCTCATTATTTTGTAAATACAGTGTGTAAGTTTTTAAGAGACAGTTCACAAGCTCGAGTTTATTGTAGCCTGAGTCTAAATTCTAGAAGTAAACGGTATTTGGGCCGAAGCTTATATAAAAGCTTTCAAAAATTAAATTCTCACAGCTAACACACTACGCAATGTATAATTAAAAACATAATAAAGGTAACTTGCAAATCTTCCAACTTTGCCTTACTGTACTTAAGACGACAACTCAGGCCCTCACACCTAGGCTTCACGAAGAAACGCAGGAACTCGACATATTGTTACTATAGTGCCAAAATATAATTTACAATTAACTTAATATTAATTTAAATTATTGAAATTATTGTGATTAGGGCCACTATACAGGGTGTTTTTTTAAAAACTTGCATCTTTATTTATGTAAAAACCGCAATAGATAGAAATATGCAGTTTGCGGGAATCATCTATTGACGTAGGGGGCCCAATTTTTTTGAATTCAACGTTACATTCACATTCCCCCCCTTTCCCCCTTCCCCTTTTTAAACACTAATGAAATTAATTTAAATTAATATATACTCATATATATATATATATATATATGTGGGTGATAAAGACCATTATACAATGAACAATCAAATAAAGTACACATGAGTCAGATAAAACAATTATAAATTAATAAAAAATAACGCAAGAAGAATCTATGTAAAACCTAGATCCATCAATTTTGCTGGGACATATATTAAAAAAAAAGTCACATGTAACGTTAAAATAGTAAATGTAATTTTATTGTAAGCTATAGAGGATACAAAATCACACATGATTTTATAATTGAACAAGTTCTAAATTAGCTGAAATCGTAATTTGTTTTAGATTTTTGTTATTAGTCATATCACCTGCTACTTTTTCCCTACCCTTCTTAGAATTTCCAGCTCAAAGTACTGTTGTTATTAATATCTGAACATTCTCAGAATAAAACTCTTATCTATGAATTGTTCCCGTGTTGGTGTTTAAAGTTCACCATTGTTTGTTAATGACCTGTTTGACAGTCAACAATCAAATGTTTCGTGATAAGCTTGTAGCATTAAATTCATAAGACCATCTAGACCTACTGTTTTCAAAATCTTCATTTAAAACCTGATATTGTGGTGATATTGAGCCTTGTCATATGTTGTAACAATAATCAATTGTAATCATTAATTTTACTATCTTCTGAATAAAATAAACCCCACCAGTTATCGAGACAAAAATTATGCTCAAACATTTTTATAAGGAAAAAAAAAGGTTTGATTTGGAACTAGTTTGCCACTTTTCCATCCATTCTGCTAAAGCGACATATTCTGCTTATCTTATGAATGGACAAAGAATCGTAAAAAAACTTGTTATTACAGAATGCAAATGTTTTTCTCTCGATTCAATTGTAATAAAAATCTTTACTAATTTAGCTTTTAGTTTTCTTGACCAAGATTAGAACATTCTAGGTACTATAAAATATAATAAAACTTAGAACTCAAAATTAAGCATTATTACTCACAAGTACGAAGGTAGTTTTTTAAGTAAGGGCTGTTTTTGCGTAAAGCTATATATTTTGCGTGTACACTGTAACGGGGCTCCTCACTGCTCACTGGTATCGTTTGTGAACAAAATGACACCATATGCAGCTCTGTAGCTGACGTTTACACTTATCTGTGTGTATGAAAAAAATTTTAATTAAGAGTAATTAATTAATTACTTTCGTATGCCTATTCGAAAGTCGTTCCGTTTGATAGCTCCACACGTGTGTTTAAAAATGTGTAAATACCAGCCAAACAATATGCGTAATGATTCTTTCGTATACATAAATGTAAATATTCGACAAACATCGCCTGATGGAATTTATTGTAAATACTGTGTAAATGCTGCTGAAGATGAGCTGTAACAGTTCGAAACATACAGTATGACAAATAACTATGTTTGACACCTTCTGCCATACCTACGTTAGTAGATTTTCATCTATGAGTATTACTAACCTTATAATCCATATGACAGGAGATTAAATAATTCCAAAACAATTTAAAAACACACAGCAAAGTGTACACATCAGATTCAGAGTTGCATTTGCTGAGATACAACCAAAACAGAGGTTATGTTAATTGGCAGGATGCATATACAATACAAGGTCATGTGATCAGCTGAGATGAGGGACTCACGCTACAACACCATATCACTCCAACTGGAAATAACACATTTAGCATGAATCAAATCAATTGAATTTAACGTTTGGTGGATGGTTAAGATCAAACCCATGAACCTCTGGGGGCATATACAAACAGTTTTAACTATATTACAGTACCATACCAACAAAAGAAAACACCGGAAATAAAACGATTGGCAAAATGGTATCATTCTGTTCACAAATGATGCCAGTAACTGCCAAGGAGCCTTGTTGCTGCGTACATGCGAACTAAGGAGCTATAAACAAAAACAACCCTTACTTAGAAGACTATCCTCGTAAAACCAATATTCAGATTTTATTATAAGATACAATATAATTGATTGTGCTTTTATTGTTAATTGGTAGTTCCTATTAACTTTTATAACACTTTTTGGTTAGTTTGGTGTTTATCCTAATTCATAATGCTCTTGACCTCTTTAGCTTCTGATGCTCTGTCCCGTCTTGAAATCTGTGAAGGTTGCAGTTAAGTAGAAACTTCTATCCTGTTTATTGCTTTTGTTTTGTGCTGCTTTTATCATAATTGGGCACTAAAATAGCTTTGTATTTTTCATGATCATTTAATAATTGTTGTATCTTATTGTAATCTTTGTATTAGTTAATACTGATGCTTTTTTGTTTTATTTTATATTTTATCATTTATTTAATGGTTATTAGTCATTTTGTGACCAAGTCAAATCTTGAATCATCAGATCTTTAGGAAATGGTCAAATTATGCCTGATAAAAAAAATAAGTTTTCGATTACTATAGGGGTTTGCTCATTTGTCAAGTTTACAAATGAAGATTTGACTTGAATTAGTTTTGAAATTTCTGAATTCAGTATTTAGTTGCAAGTTTTAGTTCACTTTCTTTAGTTTCCTTTTCTCTTATTTAGTCAAAAGTATTGCTTTTGTCAGTTGAGTTTGTAGTTTAGAAATCTTGTAACATTGAAGTTATACGGAGTATAGTGGACAATGACGGAACAAAATATGTTGAGGCTGCAACTAAATGCCATTTACACACAGCTATACAATCTACATTGCCATTAATTAATCTAGTAATTCTACCAAAAAGACAATCTGTGCTGCCAGCATCATTCTGTTGCCAAATAGTTGTAACTACAAAATGTTGTATCCACAAAATGATGATGATTACTCTCACAAATGGTTACATCCCATGTCCACTTGTATCCGTGTATCCTCAATCTGTATGATTGTTTTTTACACTTGTTATCATGAAATACACATTTAACAAAACTCTACATGCCTTGTAGTCAAATCCTAGCATTGTGTAACAAATGTCTCTCACCTTATTAACCTACAACATTTACAGTGGTGTACTTCAAACTAATTGTGGTTTTACACTGATTTTTCCAACTAATATGTAAATAGGTTAATTTTGATCTAACAAAGTATGTCAGTTTGAAGTTGTTGGCTAAGAAACCTCACACTAAGGCTGAGGAACTGAGACTAAGAACTTTCCACTAACTATCAAAATCAAATCCGACAGTTTTATTCACCATAGAGTTGTTGATGTTTCCTCACGTCAAAGTAGGGATCATAAAGTTTGTCTTTAAAATGATTCTAAATTTGTAAATCATTTCCTATGCTTTTATTTAGTAAAACCACCGGAATTATGTGAATATCGATGAACTGCAACAGTGTAAGAAAGAGCCATTTGGCCCTAACTTTCTCTGAATAAATAAAGAATTTTTCATTTCTATCATACAAGGCATATTTCATTCATTTCAGAATTCAAACTTTGGTTCCTCTTTAGATTTATGAAATTGTATGTCTCTATAATAAAAAATTAACAGTGTCCCTTTAAGTTTGATATTTTGGTAAGTTTGTGGCCCAATCTATAGCACAACTATCAAGGCAGTCGTGAATTTGCGTCCAAGAGCTGTCACAGACTTGTACTATGCCAGCTAACCTCTTCCGTGGCTTGATAAATTCCATGCACAGGCCTTAGAGTCCCATGTAGATCAGCGAATGTAAGGTTATAAGGGAACATCTTTAAACCAAAAAAATCAACATCGTTAAGAACTAAGGCAGTAAGTCAAGATCCCTGAACGCTGTTTGCTGTTTTCCCTTCGATAAAACAGTATGCACTGCTCAGTTACTCTGTTCTTAAAAAATGCAATCCCCACTACACCTTAAGACTAAATGTATCTAACATTTCTAATTCATGTAATGTTCTTCTAAAACACTGTGCTCCTGACCAGGCTTTTTACATAAGAAGTGTGGTCTAGAATAAAAATCAAAAATATCAATCTCAAAGCCAGTTTGTGTTTAGTTTCTTCTTATTTTGTAGATCAATTTGATTTTCAAACATTTGATTGTTTATGTTTACTAAACTCATAATTGTAAACCACATTTGAAGATTGATTTATTGAAGAATGTGATTTATGGACCTGGATGGGTCCAGTAATTTTGACTGCCTAAAACTCTTCCTCAAAAGTGTATTTAACAACCAAGTGCAATCAAGCTGGTTAGGATTGCGACGAGATTTTCTGCACTGGAAAAAATAAATATTAAAAGTGCAGTCGCAACCGTTTGCCGGGGATAGCTCAGCCTACAATGGCTGGGTAAGATTCCAGGGTCTGCGATAAGGTCAGGGAAACCACTAGGCCAAAAGCCGGGTCTAACCGGTATAGGACTGGCTCATACACGGGCACTGTGAACAAGTCAAAAACAAGTCACCAAAACAAACGTGCAATAATCACTACCAGGCCTACGCCGATTCTCCACTCTCCTAGGGGTTCGTTGCTGACTACGCAACTCGGGCTTCGTCCTAACTATCCAATAGTTAAGCCCAGAGTGCCTAAAACACAGTGAGTTACACGACGACTTGCCAATAAAAACCACAACGCGAGTTATCAACAGGCGGGGTCTACTAGGCCACTATAATCCAATACACAACTCTAATGCCCAAGCTAAGAATCAAACAGTCCACTCGATACTAATACCATATAATAATATAAGTAGATAGTAATGTACCAATCCTAGACCAAAAAAGGAAGACTTTAATAATTTAATGAAATTTGTTGTTTTTCAATACTAATATGTTAAATTTTTGCCTCTTTTAGGCCAATTTCTAACATTTTCATATTTTTCTAGAAAAAGTATATAATTTTGATGAAATTTTTATGAATATGTCTATATTTTCCATAAAATTGACTACAAAACAAAATGTTTTTAAAAACAAGTAAAATTTTAAAATTTAATGAGTAGTTTTTATACAAATTTAACTAAAACAGTTTCTTTATCTTTGAATGTTTTAATTTCAGTAATAATTAAGTTTAAATCTTTTTTATTTAATTCTTTAATTGTTTTTTCATCAAATATATTAATAAATCTATGAGGCAAATGAACTTTACATTTTTCTAATTCAACAATAACTGTTGGTCCATATTTATCTTTAACTTTTTCAAATTTTTCTATTTTATATTTTGTATTCAATTCTAAACTTTTTATTGGTTTATATTCTTTGAATTTACATTCTCCTATATTATTAATCTCTTCTAGTAGATCCATTTATTACAAAAATAATTATAAAAATTTTAAACAGTTAATAATTGAAATATATGAAAAGAATTTTAAATAATAAATTCCATAAATTTAATAATTTATTTGATAATTAAACCTTAAATAAACCTTTACAAACTTGTTTTTTTAATCAATTAATCTACTTCAAGATTTTTATGATATAAAAAACTTTAATAATTTTGATAAATTTCATATTTTTTAATAGTTTATTTAATAATTAAACCTTTATAAACTCATTTTTAATCATTTATTAACGCGTCGCGATTTTTGCGACGCGTCAAATATTTAATAAATTCCATAAATTTAATAATTTATTTGATAATTAAACCTTAAATAAACCTTTACAAACTTGTTTTTTTTAATCAATTAATCTACTTCAAGATTTTTATGATATAAAAAACTTTAATAATTTTGATAAATTTCATATTTTTTAATAGTTTATTTAATAATTAAACCTTTATAAACTCATTTTTAATCATTTATTAACGCGTCGCGATTTTTGCGACGCGTCAAATATTTAATAAATTCCATAAATTTAATAATTTATTTGATAATTAAACCTTAAATAAACCTTTACAAACTTGTTTTTTTAATCAATTAATCTACTTCAAGATTTTTATGATATAAAAAACTTTAATAATTTTGATAAATTTCATATTTTTTAATAGTTTATTTAATAATTAAACCTTTATAAACTCATTTTTAATCATTTATTCACGCGTCGCGATTTTTGCGACGCGTCAAATATTTAATAAATTCCATAAATTTAATAATTTATTTGATAATTAAACCTTAAATAAACCTTTACAAACGTGTTTTTTTAATCAATTAATCTACTTCAAGATTTTTATGATATAAAAAACTTTAATAATTTTGATAAATTTCATATTTTTTAATAGTTTATTTAATAATTAAACCTTTATAAACTCATTTTTAATCATTTATTAACGCGTCGCGATTTTTGCGACGCGTCAAATATTTAATAAATTCCATAAATTTAATAATTTATTTGATAATTAAACCTTAAATAAACCTTTACAAACTTGTTTTTTTTAATCAATTAATCTACTTCAAGATTTTTATGATATAAAAAACTTTAATAATTTTGATAAATTTCATATTTTTTAATAGTTTATTTAATAATTAAACCTTTATAAACTCATTTTTAATCATTTATTAACGCGTCGCGATTTTTGCGACGCGTCAAATATTTAATAAATTCCATAAATTTAATAATTTATTTGATAATTAAACCTTAAATAAACCTTTACAAACTTGTTTTTTTAATCAATTAATCTACTTCAAGATTTTTATGATATAAAAAACTTTAATAATTTTGATAAATTTCATATTTTTTAATAGTTTATTTAATAATTAAACCTTTATAAACTCATTTTTAATCATTTATTAACGCGTCGCGATTTTTGCGACGCGTCAAATATTTAATAAATTCCATAAATTTAATAATTTATTTGATAATTAAACCTTAAATAAACCTTTACAAACTTGTTTTTTTAATCAATTAATCTACTTCAAGATTTTTATGGTATAAAAAAACTTTAATAATTCTAATAAATTTCATGTTTTTTAATAGTTTATTTAATAATTAAACCTTTATAAACTCATTTTTAATCATTTATTAACGCGTCGCAAAAATCGCGACGCGTTAATAAATGATTAAAAATGAGTTTATAAAGGTTTAATTATTAAATAAACTATTAAAAAATATGAAATTTATCAAAATTATTAAAGTTTTTTATATCATAAAAATCTTGAAGTAGATTAATTGATTAAAAAAACAAGTTTGTAAAGGTTTATTTAAGGTTTAATTATCAAATAAATTATTAAATTTATGGAATTTATTAAATATTTGACGCGTCGCAAAAATCGCGACGCGTTAATAAATGATTAAAAATGAGTTTATAAAGGTTTAATTA